CAGCCCAGGAGACTCGGGAGAGTCGGGAGACCGAGCCGGCACCTCGGCCACGCCCGCTCGAGTCGTACCGATCTTTGTAGTTCCACCTAGGCGATTACACACAACAGCGGGGGTTCTCGCCCTCCGCCCAGACCACAGGGTCCGCCTCCAGTGGTTCACCTCGACTTGAGGGTCACTCTGACCAGCGGAGTTCAAGCACTGCGGTTTGTTGAGTTTGAGGTTTGGTTTCCCGAGGAGGGATGAGAGAGCAGTGAGGGGTTCTGCACGCCTTTGCATGAGGATTTCTACAATGCATATCTTAACAAAGTGGGGCGTTGTTCAGATCACACAGGGTCTGTCAGATAGAGTCCATTGTGGCAACAGCCGGAGAGGGCATTCGGCAATACTTGTCATATTTGCCAGGACTGACAGATTTGATTGGACGGACGGGCATATATGTACCTTCTTGGGTCCTTCAGTTTTATGCCTCGCTCTACATTGATCCTCATCACAGATTCATTCACTTTGCTTTCAAAGGCAAAGACTACAGAGTGACTAGTGGCAGAGTCAGGGAGATACTGAGACTACAGGAGCAGCCTGTAAAGATGCATGAGGTGTGCTATGGACATCAGGAGCCTCCCATGCGTCCTCATGGAGGGCAGGTGCCCCCTCTGATTTAGTGCGGCATTGCTTCAAGGAGCCGTTTGGAGAGGGGTCGAGCAGAACCCCAAAGAATTTGACTCCTACAAATGAGGATACTAGAGGCCATCATCGAGGACACCTGCTTCCCGAGTGTTGGGATCTGGGGAGGGCCTGACTCGCTTCTGACTCTGCTTCTCAATGCCATCATGCACGCGATGACAGTGTTTGACATCTGGGACCTCCTTCTTTCGAGATGGAGGATACTATAGTGAGGGATTCAAGGGTCGCAGACGACTTCCCTATGCTCACTGGATCACATTCCTCATCCGCAGAGTAGTGCTTGATAAGCCCCCGGCATGATGGATGAGTATCACAGGTGCCACTCTGAGTTCCCACCTACAACCTGTCATAGAGGATCGACACCGCCACTCCTCAGCACCAGTCCAGGCCTAGCCATCGCCCGACGTGCTGAGTCTGCAGCTCAAAGAGGATGAGATAATCGGAGGGATTGCAGCCACCGAGGAGGAGGAGCTAGAGGCACAGCAGGAGGTGAGTGAGTCAGATGGCAGCTCGGCGATGACTACCACCTTTATACCTCGAGATGCCTCCACGCAGAACACGATCGATGAGGCGGTAGCTCCAGCTTCTGCTCCACCGCTCCACGATGCACCCCGCTCTCATTGCTATTCTTGGCGGATGCAGCAGGATCGAACCACAGCGAGCACAGAGAGACAGTTGCCAACCCAAGCCTGATTCGAGCTCGTCGGACGCGAGTTTCAAATGCAAAGAAGCAACTTCTTCAAAGACCAAGAATTACTTATGCAAAGGCGGCTCATGGGATTCATGCAGCATGTAGTGACAGCTATTGGGGTCCCACTGCCATAGCCTTCGCCCCAGCTTGCACAACCTCCCACCACTTCGACGACTCCAAGAAGACAGCCCAGTGGGCTTGAGTCGAGGACAGCCTCCCCTTCGATTTCCTTCACCTCCTCAGACAGTGTCCCAATGATTTAGCCTCACCGTGTAGCCCCACAGTTCCTCCTTATCACACACGGGTTTCTCACCAGGCGAGACTTCCTCACTATTCGTGCTCGAGTCGTCCGGTCTCCGAGTCTTGGAGCATCATTCGGTGAGTTGACCGGCATGCCTACTCCACCTCACATGCATGCAGCCGGTCCGTCTCTGACAGCTCCAGCTATCAGACTACTCAGAGGCTCCCTCGCAGCCGCCTCGTCGAGATCCTCGATAGACATACTTGCGGCTTCACAGACAAAGACCACCTCACTGACCCAGACTGCTTTCAAATGACACTTCACCTTGGAGGGTCGGTCAGGTTCGAGCTCAGGTCGATGATGATGGCGCCTGAGTTCCATCTTGCTCCACGTGCTTGACGCTTGGCTAGACTGTCTGCTCACGCAGCCTCCCAATTCCCTAGGTTTTGGTGTTTGACGCCAAAGGGGAGAGGGTTTGAGTATGTAGACTTAGGGGAGCGAGTTTTAGGGAGCTAGTTATCTAGTATTAGCTTATTATATACATTTGGAGTTTTATTTGTGTGATACACTATTACTTATGCATTCGTGTGTTTACTTTCATGCATACTATTATATATATGTGATAGTGCTATCTACGTGATTGTGATATTTGACATGTGTGACTTCTACTTTGCTTTATCTATATGTCATATCACTTGTGTGATGCTCATTTGATTTTGCTTCCGCGTTTATACTTTGAAGCAAATGAGCTTTGTTATTTGTACTCATGCTTAATCCATATTCTTTGAGTACATTGTGTTGGCTTGGGTCATATAAGCTTGTCTTTGAGTACATTGTGTTGGCTTGGGTCATATAAGCTTGACTAACTCTTTTGTTCTTATTGACAAAAGCTTATATGAACCAAGCCCGTTAAAAAAAACCTCACTCCATAACATACTCGAGGTGGTGTTGTCATCAATCACCAAAAAGGGGGAGATTGAAAGCATCTAGGCCCCTAGTTGGATTTCGGTGATTGATGTCAATACAAGATTACTATGACTAACGTGTGTTTTGCAGAGGCAATTAAGTTAGGTCATGGTAATGGAGATCGATTGGGCAATTGAGGTTGTCATGCCCCTACGATGGAAATCGTTTCGGTTTTCAAAGGATGGACGACAAGGTTAAGGATAACTAGTTCTAAGTGTCAATTGAAGTTGGAGAGACACTTAGAGTAGTTTAGGACTTTGTTTTTCCTTTGGCCGTACTATGAAGGGGGGTATGAACGGGTAGCTTGACCTAGTTAAGCCTAGTGAGTTAGGTGTGGTGCACACTTGTTTAAACTAGCTCTAGGTAGCTCCTATGAATGCCTAAGATCTTTTGGAGCAAAATTCATTCACATATATTCGGAAGTTGGAAGTGAATGGAGGGTCAAATGTGACCGGACGCCGGTCCCGGCATGAATGCTGGCCGGACGCCGGCAGGGTCCGGGTCGGTCCATTCATTTGATCGAGGTGAACAAGTCTGATGTGACCGGGACGTTGGAAGGTCATGTGGCCGACGACGAGGACCAGCGTCCGGTTGACTCCAATGAGGGGTCCAGACTTGGGAAAGAGTGACCGGACGCGTCCGGTCAGTCTTAACCGGACCACGAGGGTTCAGCGTCCGGTCGACTCGATGAAGGGTCCAGACTTGGGAAAGTGTGACCGGACGCGCGTCCGGTCGATCTTTAACCGGACCACGAGGGTTCAGCGTCCGGTCGAGTCCAAGAAGGTTCCATAAGGGTTTTATGCGACCGGGCGTGTCCGGTCGATCGCACCGGACCTGCCAAATATGTCCGGTCGACTCTTTATCTTGGTTCGCGGTTGAACTGACCGGGCGTCCGGTCATCATGATCGGAGCGTCCGGTCGTCCCCGAAGCTCATAACGGTTCGTTTTCAGTGGCTTATAAATAGAAGGTCCACTCGTGAGTGGAGTATCTTTGCTCATTCCAACAGGTGAGAAACACGTTTGTGAGTGCCAAGAAGAGCAAGGTCCTAGTGAGGTGTTTGTGATTTGAGAATCCAAGAGAGTAGCCTCACTAGCAAATCAAGAGTAGCAAAGTGTGCATCCATCTTCTCATTAGGCTTCAAGCGTGGTCAAGTGAGAGTTCGTGCTTGTTACTCTTGGTGATCGCCATCACCTAGACGGCTTGGTGGTGATTGGGAGTTTGGTGTTCACCGGGCGGAGCTTGTGGGTGACCCAACTCAAGTTGTGAGCGGTTTTGGGTGATTCGCCATGACGACGGAGTGTCGAAGAATCAACCCAGAGAGCACTTGATCCTTCTGCGCGGATCAAGGGGAGCTACACCCTTGCGCTGGTGCTCCAACGAGAGACTAGTGGGGAGTGGCGACTCTCCGATACCTCGCAAAAACATCGCTGCGTTCTTTCTCTCTCTATTTACGTTGAGCACTTACTTTGAGTATTTACTTTGAGCATTTCAATACTTGTCTTACATCCATAGAATTGCTTGCTAGAGTAAGTTTGGAACATTGGTTGCGAGGTTGTTGTGCATTAGTTTGATATAAACACTTTTTAGGCACAAGGGGTTAATTGGGCTATCCGTAGGATTTGATTATTGCAAGAAAATTTAGAATTAGCCCAATTCACCCCCCCTCTTGGGCATCTTGATCCTTTCAAGCTCGAGACCGTCGAACTTGTCCTCCAGCTGGCGGACCTCTTGGCAATACGCAGCCATCTTGGCATTGTGGTAGCTTAACTCCTTCATGACCTGGTCGATGACCAGCTGGGAGTCGCCCCGGACGTCGAGCCAGGGAGAGTATTCAAATTTGCTGAAACGTTTAGGCGCAAGCTTTTTGATAAAGCTATGATCGAAATGGTCTCTTTTTGTTTCTTGGATACAATAGACTGAACATGCACTTTCCTCTATTTTTGCTTTTATCGCATTGTATTTGTCATCTGAATTCAGTCCACGTATGTTCTAGTTCAAAATGTTCCAATTTCTACTCTGATGACTACCTTGGTTGTTATAATCCATGGAAATTGAAGTGGCGTGACTGAAGGTACCCCAACCATAGGTAGGCCACCATAGTATCATGATAGAGCCATATCAGAGCAAGAAAACCACCATTCAGAGAGTAGCCACAACACCAAAAATGGGAGGCATTATCAGGATAGCCATATTGAAACTAGCCAAAATAAGCCAAATCTAAATCTGCATAAGAGCTGACACCGATCTGACATGAGCAGGTTTGTGGACTACCAGGATAATGACAAAGAAGATTGCAAGTCCACCCACCAGAGTTCTTGCAACAACAAAACAACAGACACGTCAAAAACAGGTTCAGAACAGACTTTTTATAGCAGCTTAACATAGGACATTCCATGTCGAAATAGAAGTCTTGGGGGGCACTATCCATTAATAACTGGTGGCATGTTCTCCTGGCTACTCCTCCCTTCATTGGTTTCAAGCTCTATTATTGATGAGATGAGTAGCTCTGCCGTCACCTCCGGAGGAGCGATCCGGTACTTCTGGGTTGCCACCTTCTGAATTTCAACAATAGGAATTTCAGGGTAAGCACAACCCATTTCAGCACACTTCTTTAAGTTAGATAAGCCAGGAAAGTTGACGCCAGGGCATGTATGAGGAAGTAAAATTTTATCCATGAGAGAAGATTGTGAAGCAACTCTCTTGCCCTTAGTCTTGCTTCTGGTGGTAGGACCCTTTGAGGAGGATGCTTGTTCAAGTTTATGGCCATCAAGAGCAGCGTTCAGTCGACTGCTTCTTCTGAGGTTCTTGACTGAAATAGGAGTGTTGCACTTTCCTTTCTTAGTGTTCTTGCCACTGTTTTCCTGTGCATCAAGATGGTCATCAACTATCGTGTAATCTTTCGCTGGTTCAGAGAAAATAGGAGTTCTTTTCTATTGCAGTGGATCATTTTCCTTCTCAGTCCTTCCTTTGAGCTTCTTTCTGCAGTACACTTTTGTGATTGGAGGAGTTCTGGTGAAGGTTGCTATGATCTGTCGCCTATCTTTCCTCATATCAGGGGTATTATTGTTGACAGGTCCTACTCCAGAAGTGTTGGCTTGAACAAGAATGGGCATAGTGATATCAAGATGAGGTAATGCCTAGAGCAAATAAGTCAATGTGTTTGATGGAGCCGAGGATAGTCAAGTCGCCTAGGAGCCTTGAACCTTGGATGTTAATCGATTGCTCATCCTCTACCTTAAACCTTCAAGCGCGGAAATTGGTGATGTCCTCTCTCTACGAACCTGGCGGACAACGAGGGAAACACACACCATTTGTAAGTTGTTGCCCTGAGAACCAATTTTGCAGTGGCCATTTTGAAGAATGACGTTCTGTTCCTCAACAGGCTGATCTCCAACAATGATTTCAGTGTTATGTCCTTCCCCCATATGGAAGTGTCTAGAGTCAGCAATCACCGACGATAGAGCTGCAAATTCACCGTCGGAATAGGATTGAAAGGAAGTGAAGAGTGTAGTTGAGAGATGCAATGCGTGAGGGAGCCTTGGACGGTATTGAGTACTAAAGGGTCATTAGGAGCATTGGGGTTAGGCGCCCACTCAATGGCATTGGCGTGATTAGATCTTTCTTTGTCATCTCTTTGTTTGAAGTGAGGATTTTTTTTTTCCCAGAGAGCGACTTCTTGGGCTTTGGAGCCCATTTACGCCGAAGGTCCGTACGCCGTTTGACACAATACTTGGCTCGATGGCCATAATTATATAGCAATACAAGCATCTAAAGGCACTTATACAGTCTTTGATGAAGTGATCTGCACCCAAACATCTGAAATGCAGACGATGAAGGCAATTGAGAGTGGAGCTGAGAAGGTCACCTCGGTTAGGAGGCAGCTCAATTAACTCTTGGGATGGCTTCTTGCTTGCGGCTTGGGGATGAGACCCATCATTAATCATTTCAAATTTATTTGAAAGTTGGTGGCTCTGCTCAATGTTGCCGACTTGATAAATCTTTGGCGGCTTGATCTGGAGGGTTGTTGATGTGAAGATCTTTTGGGATTTTGAAAGATGCCTTGGTTGAAGTGCCCTCTGTACTTGGCGCCGAGGAGCTAGCACTCTTGCTAGTACCAACAGAGCACTTGAACATTATGAACATCAAGCTCACCATTGACATTGTGAACACCAAGAACACCGGAAGACGTCCGAGAGGTTTTGGGAGATGGCATGTGCTCGAGAATCCTTCCAAGACCAGAGGCAACATTGCGGAGAAAACCAAATCACTTGCTAGAAGAAATAGTGATAGGACAAAAGAACTTGCCAATCTTGATGATCGGGCCAATCTCGGTGGGGACGAGATTTACGAGTGCGGAATCTTAAAATAGCTTACTGTAGATAGAAACATTCTTAGAAGTCAATTTGCGCTTATTTTTAGGACTAAGCATCGTTGTCCAACTAGCTTTCTCTTCTTTCTCCCAACGCTTCTTCTCAAGTTCTCAATTATCACCTCCGTCTCGCCACAAGTGGAAATAGACGTCAAAATGAGCAAATCGTGATTCTTCCGAGAGATCGAATTAGCGGAGACCAACATGCTTGGAGGCAACAGAAAAATGGAAGTGGCGGTCACTTTGGTAAGTGACATGAAAACCAACAAGCGCCTCCAAGATAGCGATTAAGGCAAAAGCCAAAGCAATCCTGAATCTTGATTGAGACGAAAATGAAACCTTCAAGACCACGAGAAGGAAGAAAGAGCCATCCAGGGAGGAAGAAGAGGATGATGCACCAAGGAGGAAAACTTGTGCACGACCTCAGCTTTGAAGCGCTTACCCAGGTGAAGGTGACTGTGACGCCTAAGAGGGGGGGGGGGTGAATTAGGCGACTTAAAAATCTAACTCTAAACTATGGCCTCTTTTTCTACCTCTAGCAAAACCTATGCAAAAGATGATCTATCTAGATGTTCAACTACGGTTTTGCTAGTGTGTTGCTATCTCTCTACCGCAAATGATAATAATATGATCAATGTAAATGCGGAAGCTTAAAGAGCAAGGTAGAGATATGCAAACTCCCATCGACGACTACACGGTTTTTACCGAGGTATCGAGAAGCCCGCAAGCTTCCCCTAGTCCTCGTTGGAGCCCCTCGCAAGGAATCCCTCGCAAGGGCCAAGCTCCCGTAGGGTAACTCCGTGGGATAGCCTCGGGCCTTCCCCACGCCGCAAGTGGGTCTCCGACGTGCCTTCCGGCAAGCCTCTCCCGGATGCTCCCGCCGTCTTCACTATCAAGCTTTCGGCTTTGAAACGTCTGCGGCCTTGTTCCCTTCGGTGACACGCAGTGGCGGCCGCACTTGCCACAAACGCGTTGGTGCGATCTCGCAAGACTTCAAGCCCTCTCGATGTATAACTCTTGTGCTCGCAAGCACGGGGTGGTAAGAGGTATGCAAACCTCACTAAACACTAGGCATACACCTAGAGCAAGCGCATAAGCGGTGGTCTAATCAACCTAAGCATTTAAGTAAAGCACCTACGCTAATCACCTGATGAAACACTAAGCACTTTGCAAGTGGAGATCACTAAAATGGTGTATCAACACCCTAGATATGTTTCCTCAGCTTCACCCTTATCAAATGGCGGTTGGAGGTTGTATTTATAAGCCCCACTGAGAAAGTAGCCGTTGGGGTCGAACTCCCGCAAATCACATCGACCGGACGTTGAATCGTCTGACCGGGCGCGTCCGTCCGTCTCCCGACTTCGCTATTAGCCGCTGAACTACCGATCGGGCGCGCCAATGTCGTCGATGTCTCTGCCAACGGACGTCCGGTTCGCGATTCAAGGCGCCTGGAACCTCTCTTACTCGATTGGACGGACTGCGTTCTGCGTCCGGTCGGTTCTCCGCCAACATCCGGTCCTTGCGTCCGTCGCTTTGTCTGCCGAAACCACCGGTCCAGGCGTCCGGTCAAGGCTTCCAGCGTCCGGTCCAGCGTCCGGTCGCCTCTGCGAGCTCGTTTCTTCGCGATCTTGCACACGGCTTGGTTCCTATCTTCATGCTTGGACTTTGCTTGATATCTTGGGTCTTTTCTTGTGCTTCTAAGGTCTTGCTTGAGGTGTTGATTATCAGATCATCATGTCGCCTTCGTTCAAGTCACGTCTTGCACCCTATTGGACTACAAAACAAACACTTGCAAATTCATTAGTCCAATTTGGTTGTGTTGGTCATCAAACACCAAAATCCAAAGTAAATGGGCCAAGGGTCCATTTTCCTTACACCAGGGAGAAGTCCCACTCTCTGACCAGCTCTGCAATAGGAGGGTCCTGCTCGAGTTGGATGAGAGCGCCCGGAGTTTGCCGAGCCATCAAAGGCGACCTTGCCGGAGAGGGGCCTCCCCAGAGATGAGCCGGATGCAGCCTGGGATCAACAGCGACGGGGAAGACGCGAGAGCACTACAGGGGGAGGGGGCGGCTGCTAGATCGGAACAGGAGGGCGAGATGGCTGGCTGCCCCTGCGCGGGAGTCGCGCGAGCTAGATTGCGTGCTGGCCGGTGACACGGGCGAGCACAAGCTAGGCTTCACGCGGGCCGGCAGCTCGAGCAAATGCTAGCGAGGCTGCGCGCGGGCCGGCGGCGCGGCAGGCGGCGGCCGACACGAGCGTCCACATAGTTTAGCATTTCATTGTTTGTTCATATAGTTACAGACTTTCAGTTGCCGTTTCTGCAAAGGCATTATCTGGAGGGCAACCCGATACCATGGGAGCTTGTTCACAGTAAAGAAAAAAATAGTTTGAACCAGATTACACATATAATTAATCTCAGAAAAAACTGTCAAAGGGCATGAACCCAATAGTTAGAGTTCATCCCCAGGAGATAATGGTTATCTATGGCTAAACAAACAACAAAATCAGTAACGTGCATCCAGCTAACTTCTTCCGAACCGGACATGGGTGTTGCTGGCGGCGAATCTTGATGATGAGAAACCATGTTTCTTAGTGCTGGGTGGATAATTCGAGTTCGGTGACGTGGTACCATGGTTGTGCCTTCGTGAAGACTGGGGAGTGAAATAGTCATCACCAGACAAGAATTGGTGATTTGTGTAAGACTTCTTGGGAGTAGATGCGGAACCGCATCCATTGGATTTGTACTTCTTGAATGGTAGATCATCACCACCAGTCCACCGACCTCTCGATTTGGATTTATGACGAGGTGTGTCCATTCTTTCCTCAAAATGGGGGCTTTTCCTTTTGCTTGTTTTACGGGCATCATGAGGAGCTGATCTAGCACTGGGATCCTTTTTCCATTTTTCCTTCCTCCGACTGTGTGATGATGACTTGCCTTTCGACCGATCGGACTGCAGAAGGAAAAAAACAGAAACTTAAATACAGGTAACTACTGTTATTGGAAAATAATTTGTGGGATGCTTATAACAACCTTGGCATTCTTTGTGCAGCCACGTGCGAAGTGACCTTCCTCACCACATTTGTAGCATAAGGTTGGAGTTGTGACAGCACTAGTTTCCCTGCGTTGCTTGGCGCATCCCTATAATAGAAGGTCCAATGTTAATCACCTGCCATGAGAAGCAACATGTGGCAACAGTAGAAACTAGATGACTTCAATAATAAGCATTAAAACTTACCAGACCAGAATGACCAGATTGAGCACAATTATAACAGCTAATTTGTTTCGGACAATTGTCAGAGAAGTCGGAACAACATAGATGGCCCTTCTGATTACACACGTAGCATCTTATTTGCTGCATAATCAAAAATACAATTATTAAGGGGTAAGCTCTTCTACACAATCTATGACGACTTTGTGACTCTAACCTTGCAGCTCGGACACTATTGCACTGCACAAATAGAGGGCACCTATCTTATCCTGTAATACATGTTAAGATTCAAAACATTGCACATGCAAGTTTGAGGGGTCCTGTTATGGAAGGGAAGGCACAGCATAAAATTTACCCGGTTTACCTACAGAAACATGAAACATTTACAGCCTAGTCACCTAGCCCACAACAATTTGCATCCAAAAATAAAAAATCTAGCTCATATTTAATTCCTGTATAGGCTTTTCTTTAGACCAACACTAGAGGAAAACAAATGCCAACAAACAAAAAAATCCCATTATGGAAACAAGATAACAAATTAGCTTAAACAAGGCAAAGAAGCACTACCTCAATATCATCTGGTGGGTAATCATTGGTACATCCAAACATATCATGACCTGTTTCTCCACATCTTAAACATAATGTGAATTGATGATCATTTCTCTTGTGCTTATCAGGGCAGTCTTTCGCCATATGGCCTCCTTTTTTGCAGATGAAACAATCTTGACCCTGTGAAATAATGGTTTGTTTATTCTTGAGAATGCTAAACACCGACAAGAACCATCACAAAAATCATTACAAGAGGAATATATACAGATAATAGTACCAAAACAGATGAATAACACAGAAGATTCAAACAAACAAAAGAAAACTTGATCATTCTTTACTTTTGAATACAAAGGCAGGCATGAATATGGAAAGGAATATATCAAAAAATATTTGAAATTATAAATCATAAAGATAAAGATAATGCTACTGCTCAAATGGGGTGAATAAGCATGAGAATAGGAAAAGTGAACTTAGTGAAGAGAGCTAAAAAGTATAAAGTACAGGAATCAAAAGAGGAGCTGTTTAACCAAAGTTAACAGTAGATGTAATTTGAAGGAAACATATGCGTTGTGCTAAGATATCACATCCTGTGCACTTGGTACACCAAATCAGTAATGATTAATGAACTTCCTTTCTGTCTAGAAATACATGCATTCATAGAGAGGCAGGAGCTAAACAGAAGGAATATTTTCTAAAAAATGTTTGAAGTAACAAAGTTCAAGATATATTTCCTTTTCTGCTAGAAATACGGGTGGTCTTAACAATTCAATGCAGATATTGTAAGACTGTTCCAAGTAACAAGCTTAAGATATATTTCTTGAAGACATCACAGCATGGGCAAAGTACATTTGCAAGATTGCGAAATTGAAACCTAAACAAGGTGAAACATGTTAAAATTAAAAGAGTTGAATTATCATTCTACACAGAAACATTACGCTCAAACAACAAAAACAAAATAGATTGAGCTAGTCAAGGGCATGAATGGACATACCCAAGTCACCGAGTGATAATCCCTCGGAGATAGGGTGACCAACCTGCGTGCACTGCTTTGCATTGTGCCCGAACAACCCACAAACAAAGCAAGGCTTCTTCCGCTTTTCCATTGGGCAGTTTGCAGCTACATGTCCTTCCTCGCTACAATTAAAGCAAGTCTCCAACAAAGTTTCCCCAGGATCAAAGTATCTTGGTATGCGCTGGTCACAAGTAAAGGCAACACGATGGTAAGCTTACATTAGCAGCACAAACACAATAAATTCACATGTCACTTACAAGGAGTTTCCGCAGAACCATATTGTCAGGTGCAGGGACATCAGCCCCATCTCCAGTTAGCACCGATTCTGCTGTCCCAATTGGACCCTCCTGGGTGCTACCAACCTGAAGCCAAAAAGAATAAATCGACTCATTACTGCCTCTAAAGGAGATAAACCTAGCATTTTGTTCCCAAGGAAGGAACACTGAGCTCAGAAGGTTTTTAACTTAATCCCCAGAAAAAAGAAGGCACTCGGGATATCAGTCTTCAGATAATCTTCAATTTCAAATGAAATCAGCTAATTCTGGCCAGCAACAGCAGGACGAGCAAAGATGCTACTTTGCACTCCTAATCAGCTCACAATAGAGGGGGAGTAGGCACTAGGCAGTACAATCACTCGATTCTATATGGGATTACTTAGCTATAAGCATCGAACCACGAATTTCACTGTTGAATTGAACACAACACCCAAACTAGAGGGGGAGTAGGCACTAGGCAGGGATTGCTTAGCTATAAGCACTGAACCTTCCCTGTTGAATTGAACACAGCACCCATACCAAAGCAGTAAGAGCTAGGGGGGAGGGGAATGCTCAAGCCTCAAGCTTACCTCCTTCTCTTCCTCCTCTACGGCGGCCACCGCCGCAGCAGCCTCGGTCGCCTCCTTCCGATGCTTCTTACTCTGCTTCCGGCGCTCCTTCTTATTCTTCTGCTTCCTCCGGGGCTCATCCGCCTCAGCGAGCTCCACCACGGCGTCCTCGTCGACCTCCTCGTCGCCGGAGGACACCGAGAGCAGGTCGGCGAACCCGGGCGCCCCAACGCCGGACGCCCCGCGCCGCTTCCGCCGCGCGCGCGCGAGGATCTCCAAGCTGAGGTCCTCGTTCCCCAGCTCGTCGTCGTCCTCGTTGTCGTCGCCGGCGCCGGGGCGCGGCTGCCGGGAAGGCGGGGAACCATCTTCGTCCAGGTCTGGGTCCCGCCGCACCCTCGGGCGCCAGCGCTGGGCCATTGGCGGCTGCGGCGGCGGCGGGCGAGGGGCAGATGAAGGAACCCTAGCGCGCTCGATCTGGAGGCGGCGCGGAGAAGTGGGATGGGAAAGCCTTGCCAGCGGCTCTTCGTCTGCTCGTGCCGTCGTGCGGGCCCGAGAGCGCGTGCCGATGCAATGGTGGTGCGGGCCCCGCTGGTCAGGGTGTGATGTGTTTGGCTGAATCCTCTGGCCGTGGACGCACGCCTATACTCCACCTAGAAGTGTTTGATCAGTTGATTGAAGCCTTGAAGGTAAGAGAAGCAGAGATAAGAAAGGGTATAATAAGGCCCTGTTGGTGGTAATTGTCAAAAAAAAAACTATTGGTGGTAGGATACATTGTAAACGGAAACAGAGGATCATCGTTAGTGGCATTAATAGAGTTATACTATTATCAGGCAAGAAAGAGTAAAAAATCTTTCTCAATCTTCTTCTCATCCTCCGTCCTTCTCAGGACTTGGGCTACACCATCATAGATGGCCCAGCACACGGGCCCGAGAGCGCGTGCCGATGCAATGGTGGTGCGGGCCCCGCTGGTCAGGGTGTGATGTGTTTGGTTGAATCCTCTGGCCGTGGACGCACGCCTATACTCCACCTAGAAGTGTTTGATCAGTTGATTGAAGCCTTGAAGGTAAGAGAAGCAGAGATAAGAAAGGGTATAATAAGGCCCTGTTGGTGGTAATTGTCAAAAAAAAAAACTATTGGTGGTAGGATACATTGTAAACGGAAACAGAGGATCATCGTTAGTGGCATTAATAGAGTTATACTATTATCAGGCAAGAAAGAGTAAAAAATCTTTCTCAATCTTCTTCTCATCCTCCGTCCTTCTCAGGACTTGGGCTACACCATCATAGATGGCCCAGCACACAAGATTAAAGCGTGCACCGCGAGATTACAATACGATATTGTATAGTACCAAATAGGATATTTTTCTTGTAACCCTACCCCTCCAGAGCTAATAAGGAGGGGTAGGGGTTCCCTAGTTGAGATCCCATATGGATCCTAGGTCTAGCCTAAAGCATCTGATGACACGCAATATCATATGAAGCGAATACAATCCAACAGACCGCAGGAGTAGGGTATTACGTCGCGCTGACAGCCCGAACCTGTCTAACTCTTGTGTCTCTGTTGCCTTCTTATTCTCGATTACACTCATATCTGCCGATTAATCTACCTTCGTGGGATACCCCTCGGAAGACTACCGATGATATTCTGTCGACAGTTGACACGCCAGGTAGGGGTGTGCGTGCTGTTTCCACGACAAACAAGATGGTACGTTTTGCAGGCTCTTTGTCCTTCCCGCAGCCTAGCCAGATCTTTACGGTCAGATTGATCTCTTGGGTCATTAATGCTGATGGAGACGAAGAGATCATTGAGCCGGTGCAGATCGATTCCGTGCCAACCACACCAACACCTGCAACGGCAGATCCGATCTCGGAACCGCCTCCGAGGTCGTCTTCACCAACAACTCGCCGCTTGCTCCCCCGCTACCTACGGAAGCAGATCGACAACGACGATCTGATCGCATCCATCGACCAGGTTGGCTAGAAGCTCGCCGACCACCTAGGGACAACAATAATGCCTTCTAGGATCACGACAAAGTGGTCGCCACTATCTTCGGGGGCCTCACCGCCGTCGAGAACAGAAGAGATCGAAAACTCACCGCCCGCCGGGTGCTCGTCGTCAACACCGACCAGATAACGCCATACGCCACCAACCAGACGTTCTATCTAAAGCTAAGTCACGCTTTAATATTTTTCTAGATATTCTCCAACCTTCATATATCTCCATGATGTTTCTCCGAGTTGTTTTCTCCATGTTTGTTCTCCAAACGATTTTCTTTCATGTATATCATCTTAAAGATGACATACAGCTAAGTCTAAGGCAAATCCCGAACAACCATGTTGATGCTCGGATGTTTCCAGAGACGGCCCTATCTCCGGCTTCTCCCTACACGTGCACTAGCGTCTGCCCTCTGCGTTATGGGTGCTCGACAGTGGCTTCTTAGCAATGCTTTGTTCTTCCTACACGCACACGAGCTCCGCGCTCCGTGTTATGGTTAACAGGCTAGCTAGGGCTGGAGACTCAACTACACACTAACTGGTCGGGCAGTTTATATTAAATATAAACACATCTTCAGAATAATACTAGGTGTTCACACCAACTGATCATCGAGCTACATACGCTATTTCATCACCATTGCTGATTCTTCTTCAGAGTTCATATATTTTATATCATATACTATCTATTCTACACATTTGTTTCGCAGGGGCACGGCTCGGTTAACGAGCTTACGCTCAGGGACTGGACAAGATGATCATCATCTGGGTGGTCGGACCACCTATCAGACGAACTTCACCGCCAACTAGTTGATCACTGTTCGCCGGTCACTTCTACTCAATGCTCACTTCGCCGCCAACCAGTTGGTTGGACTGCTCATCGCATGGGCTTCGTCATCAGCTATGCTGGGGGCTTGCTAACTACGCTGGGGACTCCTCAGTGCTCGGATTCTTCGTGCAAGCGTCTCCAGCAAAGCTGGGGAGTTCCTTGGTGGTCGGACCACCTATCGGACGGACTTCACCGCCAACCAACTGGTCGGACTGCTCGGTGCTCACTCCTGCTCGGTGCTCACTTCGGCTCGGCGCTCACTCCTGTTCAGCGTTCACTTCACCGCCAACCAACTGGTCGGACTACTCAGCGCTCACTCCTGCTCGGTGCTCACTCTGGCTCGGCGCTCACTCCTGCTCGACGTTCACTTCACCGCCAACCAACTGGTCAGACTGCTCGGCACTCACTCCTGCTCGACGTTCACTCCACCGCCGACCAGTTGGTTAGACTGCTCATCGCATGGGCTTCATTATTAGCTATGCTGGGGGCTCGCCAGCTACGCTGGGGACTCCTCAGTGTTCGGATTCTTCGTGCAAGCGTCGCCAGCTAAGCTAGGGACTCCCTTGGTGGTCAGATCTTGCTACGTCTCATCGGTGTGCTATCAAGCTGCTCCATGTTGTTCGGATCAGGGTGCTAATTTTGGGCAGCACGTCTGGGGCTTGATACGTGCATGTCAGATGACGTCGGCAAGCTTTCAGACTTCTTTTCTTTAACCCTGCTACAAGATTCATTCTTCATCTTTCAGCAGGCTCGGGGACTAAGTGGCTACACTTCACCTGGCGGTGAATGTAGTGCTTATTTCTTGATTTACCCTCCTTATTGACGGAGTCTAAGTGGCTACACTTCTCCTTAGTGGAAGAATTTTCAAATTCCATCTTGAGCCCCTTACATCCTTCTAGCAAGCCTTACTTGGCTAAGTCTGAGGTCTTCTAACCAGTTAAACTGGTCGGCATTGACTTTCACCGCCCAGGTCACCAGTTAAACTGGTCGGCATTGACTTTCACCACCCAAGTCACCAGTTAAACTGACTGGCTTTGACTTTCACCGCCCAGATCACTAGTTAAACTGGTCGGCTTCGACTTCCACTGCTCGGATCACCAGTTAAACTGATCGGCTTCACGTCAAAGTGCTCAGACTTGTTCAAGACAGCGTTGCTCAAAGGATACAAGGCACTCAGGGACTACCTGTGGGGGATATGACCCTCGGTATCCATAAGACAAGACATGGGCTACACCATCAGAGGTGGCCCAGCCCACAAGATCAAGCCGTGCACAGCAAGACTACAATAAGATATTGTATAGTACCAAATAGGATACTTTCCTTGTAACCCTACCCCTCCAGAGCATATAAGGAGGGGTAGGGGTTCCCTAGTCGACATCCCATACGGATCCTAGGCCTAGCCTAAGGCATCTGATGACACGCAATATCATACGAAGCCAATATAATCCAACAGACCACAGGAGTAGGGTATTACGTCGCGCTGACGGCCCGAACCTATCTAACTCTTGTGTCTCTGTTGCCTTCTTGTTCTCGATTACACGCATCTCTGCCGATCAATCTACCTTCATGGGATACCCCTCGGAGGCTGTTGATGATATTTTGTCGACAGTGTCCATGTCGAGTGACCTTGAGTTAGCACGCATAGATGTACCTTTCCTGGACGTCTCATAGCCGGCGAGCTCACCAAAGTCTTGCGACGAGAGAGAGGGAGAGGGAAGGAACGAAGACGTCCGTCATGAGGCCTGGTAGGAGGGGATTTGATCCATCGTGCTTGATGGGCGATGACTCTTGATTAATGGGAGGGCGGAAAAGATGGGCAGTGGCTCTAGCTCGATGATGGAAAATCAGGACAAGAAATGGAAAGTCCAAAAGAAAGATGGAGCGATTGTTGGGTAGATTTTTTATTTTTATGGGCCCTAGCTTACTACCTCTTCTTAGATTGTGTACAAAATTTAAGAACTAATGCCAATTTCTATATGGCCACCCTTATTACCTGCTTAGGTAGTATAAACTCTATGCCCTTATAATAGATTGTCTACTTTATCTCAATCTAAAAATTATTCGGTATTGCGAACGCATCCTTTGGTAAGGCAACTAAGTGGAGTGTCTACCACCTGCCTTAGCACAACCCGAGCTAGATTCGTATTAGGGTTTTTCTTCTCTTTAGGACACATCTGAAAAGGTCTTAAATGGCTAGAGGGCGCGAACAGCCTAATTAAAAATCTACAAATCACTAGAGCAATTGGTTAGACAACAATAAGGCTATAATGCAATTTTGCTCTAGCTCTACAAAGTGTTGCAAGCCACCTACCAAATGCTAGTTGCTATGGTCTCTATATCACACAACAAGAGCTATGTCACTACAACTATAAATAGTGAGCTTGCTAGAAAACTAGTTACAACTAATTACAACTAAACTACTCAACTAGTCAACTAGTTACATTAGGCAAGAACTAACAAGCTCTACACAAGATATGTGGAAGTAATGCACAAGTGAGGGAGCCTTTACCGAACCGGGCAAGTGTCCAATAAGAAATCCAATGAGACACAATATTTATCCTGTGGTTCGGTTGCTTGTCGGCAACTTAGTCCATGTT